GAGAGAGAGAGAGAGAGAGAGAGAGAGAGAAAGAGAGAGAGAGAGCGCGAGCCCGCCCGCAACAGCCAGTATGACTTTACAACTTCTCATTCTGTCTGGAAATTACCAGTCCTGGCTAAGCCCCCATCGCTGACCTCACTCCGAAGTCCTTATTCTCAGACATCCCCCGATCTTTAGGCATGTTAACAAAATTGGACAAAATGTGTGGTTTACCTGAAAAGTATATTTAAATTACAAAACCCTAGACGTGTGTGCGCCTTTTTCTCCAACCTAAGTTGGACTTAACACCTTCCGAGAGTACAAGAAATATTCAAATTGGATGAATATTCAAATTGGATGCAAGCAAGAGACAAGAAGAGGGAGCCGTATTTAACATCCCCCCCTTCCAGCTCCTGGCATCCAGGATCCGGTGGTCCCCCGAAGCACTGATTTCAAATACCCCAGATCCACAGAGGTTCTCAGCAGTCTTCTGCTTCAGTTAAGGGCGCCTCTTAATTTAAGAGTGCGTCTTTCTGCAAGTCTTTCTGCAAGTACCGTCACGCGGACTGCAGATTCTATCAATTTCCCAGTTCCTACGCAAGAAACGAAACAGGTACGCGGTGGGGCCCAGCTGCCGACTATGCCAACTCTGAGAAGCAGAATGGACCATCAAAGTTCTCCGCTCACTGGACCTTAAACGCCTCAGCAGCAAAAAAAAACAAAAACAAAAAACAAACAAACAAAAAAGCACAGCAGATTCCTCAATTCGACGGAGAGAGAGGTCCTTCCACAAGCGGCCTTTTTACTTTCTGCAGCGAAAGGTGAAACCCCCAGTTAGCAGGCGCACTTTGCAATGCGGCCATGCGACATGCAGCCCGTGCTTTCAGAGAGCAGACCCGCAGAAAAAAAAAAAGTCCTGTGACAAAGACCCCTGAGCTTAAGAGCAGAAACCCTGGCGGTGCCCTCCCCTCCCTCCCAAGCGGGGCTGCGGCCCGAGCCGGTTCCTACCTCCCAGCGGGGCTCCGGCGTAGGGCGGGCGGCTCGCCTTCCCGGCTCCCGGCTCCCGGCTCCGGCTCCCGCACTCGCTCGCTGCCTTGGGGCTGAGCAGCTCCGCGATGTGTGAGCTCGCGGCGGCAGGAGGGCGTTATATACGCTGCAGGAAGGGGCCTCTAGATGGCAGCTCTGCAACCCACATCTCCCTCCCGCCCCCGCGCCACCCGCTTCTCATCACCCACGCAGGCGCGCGCGCGCGCGCACACACACACGTGCACGCACGCACGCACACACACACACACGCACACGCGCACCCGCTCCGCTTCCAGCAAACCTCTGACACACCAGCGCGCTCTTGGAAAACCCCAACCTGCCTTTTTTCATCTGCAGAGTCGTCTAACGAAGCCACAAAGTCCAGGCCCCATGGGGGAAATGTGTCAGCAGAAGAAAACCTGCAAAGGAACCCTAGGGCTTTGCAAAATCATCAAGTATTTATCTGGTCTCAGGTATATCTTTAGCAATCCCATTAACACCCCGAGGCCCTTTGAATGCCTCTTAGCTCTGAGAAACACTTTGTTCCTGGGACACACGCTCTGAACTGCGGAACCTTGGTGTTGATTAATTCCGCCTGCATTTTCTTTGTCGATGCCTCCAAAACAGGAGGCCCAGTTTCAGTATGAGCAATCGGTGGGTACCGAATTACAAACCCCAAACGTGGGGGAAAGAACCTCCGTAATAGATCTGAATAGATTTTATTAGAATTCTCTTATTTGTGAAGGATTTTAGGCCCAAAGTCCTGGATAATCTAAGCAAAATGGTCCTCCGAAGCTGTTCCCCAGTGCTAGGCACACGATAGGGGCACAAAAAAATCTTTTGATAATGTCTTTTCCTGAGGTGAGTTTAGCAAGTGCTTTATTACTACTATGAAAATCCACATTCTCATCCGGAAGTGTCTGGTCAAGTTCCATCATGGAGAAAGTCAACCTAAAAATGCGCCCCACCCCCTCCCCGCCACCGCGCGGTCGACAGTCACCTCTCCTGCCCTATTTAGAAAAATCAACCATAAAGCCACGACCTACACTTTCACTTTTAAAACCAGGCTTGCTGAGCTTTCTTGCCGCAGGGTCAACTGCGGCTTGTGCTCCTGTGTCTCTGCTTCTCGGGGACTCGTGGCTGGGAAGGGGGGTGGCTGAAGCCACACGTGTTACTTGCGGTGTTCCCACTCACCCCTCCCGAGCTAAAACTTTCTGAGATTCTTTTTATACTTCTTCTAAAAATAAGAGCAGACAGCCGAATGCCCAGTCTGGAGGACTGGCAGGTCCAGCTCTCTCGTGGCTGAGGCCTCGAGAACGCCCTTAACGAAAGCAATGTTGTGGTTGGATAAAAAGCTCCGGGGTCACTGTGAAAATCACTCCCAAGGGGACTTAAGCGCACACCTGTTCTCGGGGCGCTAGGAGGAGGGGTCTGCTCGCAGGAGCCCACCTGGCCCTGCCCGATCCGGTGGCTGTCCCAAAGAACTGGCAGGAGTCTTCGCTCCTTCGTGTCCCCCGAGCCCCACTCCAAGCCACCGGAGAAAGCGGCGGTGAAAGCCGCAGGCAGCGCCCCCCGCACAGCCCGGGGCGCGGGGGTTAAGAACGCCCCCAAGTAACGTTTTCGGTCCCGGTTTCTCCTTGTGGGTGACCCCGCGTCTGAGCCCGATGGACAAAGACGCGCCGCCGCCAAGCAGAGCGTTTCCGCGACCTCGGCGGCGGGTCCCTTAGCAGACGAGACGCGCTTCCCCTTCGGCGGGTTGGGGCGCCAGGCTGAGACGCGGGACGGGTTCGAATTCACCCCGAATCGAGTGGGCTCTTGAAAAGAAGCCAGGCATTGACGAGAAACCTGCGACAGGATGCAGTGGCCAACGCGGAGGAAGGAAAAGGCAAAGTAGTTGTAAAAAAAGAACCCACTTCAGTTCCGAGGCTGTGGGGCCCTCCCCTCCCGGGGGGGCCCCTCCGCGGGGTGCGGGGGCGGCG